ATGTAAGATATGACTATGAATACCGGCCTATGCCGCAACTCCGATCCATTAGAATTAACACACATGCGAAAAGACAAATATATTTTTTTATCACACTTTAGTGCAGTTTATGCAAGATCTTCCCTCTCCCCCTTCTTCTTCTTTTCTCTTATAGATGTACTAGATCGTTTTAATTAAAAAAATCATATCGGTAACGTACCTTCGTAAATGTACACTATGTCTCCTTTATTATCGCTGAATATATTTCGTGGCTCACATTTTACGCTGCGATTGCGAAACGGCGCCGCTGCGATCGGGAAATACTTCACGACGGGCGTTTTGTACGAAAGATATCTCGTATCACGTGTCTCTGTCTTTCTTTCTCGTCATTAATATTGTTGTATACGCGCACTTCATAACAAACGTATCAGTAACTCGAACGAGTACAAAATTGTGTGAAAAAGAGAACGAGAGAAATGCACTTCGGCGACCGTTCCAGCTACGTGATCGCAAGTCAATTGCACAGATTCAGCAGCTATCGTAGCCTATACGTAAGATTGATTAGTTCCAGCTTTCCAAACCCGTTCTTATTATGAAGTTGTTGCTCGGTACTTATGTCCACGTAGATTATACAATCGTATGATATATAAGAACTTTCACAAATCATATATTATATAAAGTGTGTATATACATATAATAGAAAAATCAATATATATAATAGAAAACAATCATTATTACGAGTGGATCTGGTGGGATTTAATTCGTTAAACTTGATCTCGGTCTTTCGGCGAGAGCGTATTTCGTGCTCCCTCCTTTCTTCCGAAGACTCCTGACGCGTTGACTGCCGCGATGGGGGTCACCAGCGACCCGCATTATTATTTCACCAAATTCATTTACGCGTGAAGCACGCCTAATTGCACATAACGAATTAAATATGAGACCGAATAGGAAGTTGAAATAATTAAATAAACCACCCGACGAATATATACAGCGGAAAATATACGTGCTCATCGTGACTCTGGTTATTCGAATTTCAGCCTGGCTTTGGAACGATTTATGGGCGTCAGCAGCGATGAGGCAATACCATAGACCATTGGCCTTATGGGATTTAGCGTGTAGTGAAATTTCGCTGTTTAATAACCTCCAGTCGATAAATTGCCGATAAGATTATAAGCGTAGATCGACGAGTAAAATTAATACTCGCGGTATTCGTGAGAAAATGGTGAAACTTATTTTCAATCTGAAGACTCCTTCGATCTTGCAGCGTCATTCAATCTCGACGAAACGATCTCCGGATAAAATCGCGTGGTATTAACGTTTTCTCATAATTTCCCTCATAGATCGTTTCGGTTAAGAGCGCAAATTACGAGAACGTGAAAAGGTTGACGATAAATGGCATGCGGAGGCGAGAGGGAGATTAAATAACGAGATACGCCAGGCGATTTGTATAAAATACCGATACTTTATTATTTTCAATCGATTTTGCGGCGCCGCGCAAGGACGCGCAAAAGTATGTACACAGACGGCGGATCATTTACACATTACACAATTCTCACCTATGCATTAAAAAGAAGTATTTATGTGCTAAGGTATTAAAAGTAACGCATACAAGTGTCTCGTTTTCCTCACGGAGTCGGTAAAAATTACGGTACGTTCGGGCTACAACGGGTCGGTTACATTCCGGGCGAAGTGTGATCTGAGGTATATCAGTGGTACTCTATTGCGCTATTACGAAACGAAAAAAAAGAAAACGACGGAAAAAAAAACGAACGAACAAGGAAGAGAGAAACGGAAAAAAAAGAAACAAAGAAAAAGAAAACCAGTCGGCACTTGGACAGATCGAAATGACGAGTTTCGTGAAAATGTATTGTGAGCATATACAATATGTGTCCAACCGAGTGTATGTGTATTCATACTTATATACGTGTCTCCGTGTGTATATGTGTATGGTTTTTTTTTTTTACTTATAAAAACAACGTGTATTCGACGATAGTCTCCGATAGTGGGAGCTGTACAGTATCATTTCTACGCGCGTGCACACGAAGACTATATGCTTCCTTAGTCAGGACGAGGTTACGCGTCTCTCCCGAGCTACGCGCGATCTGTCTCCTTCTCTCCTCCGTCCTTATTAAGAAAAAAAGAAAATATATAAAACTTAATACACTGATTCTGCGTCGATTCTATATTTACATCGAGTCCTGTGCTATGTATTTTTCCTCGCTTTTCTCCCTCATCATTTTCCCGATCATCGATTCTCATNCCCCCCCCCCCCCTCTTTCTCGCTTTCCGCGGTCTAAGTAAATATCGGAACCGCTTTGTCCGACCGAGGAAAGTCACGATTGGCTTTTACACGATCGCTCAGTTACTTTTTTTCTCTCCAAGACGCCTATCGCTTCTATGTACACATCTCGTTGCTTAACGAAACGCTCAAGTAACGCGCTCGCGGCCCACGTGTGAGGCGACTGCTCCGTCTCCTCCTTAGGAACCGATTACAAAAGTTCTCGCGCGCGCGTGCGAAACGCGACGCAACGTTGGATTCGTTTGCTTTGTCTCTCTCGCTCGCATATTACATTAGTTACATGTTATGTACACGCGCAGGATGAACAGTTGCGCCTCTGCTTCTCTCTCTCTCTCTCTCTCTATCTATCTATTTATCTATGTATCTATCTCTCGCATATGCGGTCGGACGACTTTACACAGTTAATTACTTGAGGATAAGGAAAAGAGGGGAAAAAGAAATCTCGACGAAGATGCGCGTCGAATGACGAAGGTAGAAAACGCAAGGAAAAACACAAGCGAGGAAGCGAAGGGGGAAGGAAAGGGGGAAAGAGGGAAATTAGCCGCGCGGGTCTCCCGCGATATCTTTGTATTATTCGATTCCTAGTTACATTGTACTAAGATTTGGTCAACTGACGATTATTTACGTACTAACTAGTTTCTGTTTCGTGGCACTGGGCGCTTCCGTTCTCTCTTTTCTCTGTCTCACATATACACGCTCACTTTCCTTTACCGCGGCGGCGGCAATCGCGCTCGAATTCGAGCGGTCAACGTCGCGGCGACCTCGAGTCGATTCCGACAGACGGCCCACGAGTCTCGTCGAGATCATCGTCCGATAATAAATCACCGGAGCAAATACTACTACAAACGTTCGACATCGTTCAACATCGCGTTCCACCGCGCACGCCTCGTCCTCCGGGATCGCGATTCGGCCGACTCGCGAAATATCCTTAGAGCTACGTGGCGGTGCAGGATGCACATATGGTATGCATAGATATCATAAATACGTTCCATCCGCCGGTATCCGCGTCGTTTCGCGCGTCAGCTCGGGAGCCGGGCCGATCGTTCGCTCACGCAGGGATAATTGAGGCAACACGACGCGTACAGACACGACACTCGATTCCGCAGGAGAGCGAGAGTTGGCGCGAAGCGAATGAACGACGATGGCCACGGCGACAACGACGACGTTCTTCCGCTTCCCTCCCGAGGTTCTCCCCACTCGTTAAGTACTAGCAATTCCATTTCCCTTCGCAATGTGCACACGTACACGTGTCACGCAGTGCCTTCCGTCGTCGTATTTTTCGCCACGTCGTCCCGGATAAGAGGCTGTGCAGGACAACGCAAGGATCCCCAACGCGCGCGCGAACGAAAGGACGAAAGTAACCACCGCGATCGCGCGTCGTCCTTCGAAATTCTCGATCGGCAATCGTTTCGGAACCGTTGCGATCGTGTCCACTCACGTCGTTCATTATTTCAGGCTTGCTCCCCGTGTCTCTCTCTCTCTCTCTGTCCTTCTTAAACTTACGCGTTAATTCTTAATCGTACGCTCTACCTACAAGTATATACAGCCGCGACGACGTTCCACGGCGGACGCTCGTGAGATACAAGTCGCGAATTTTCCCGATTTTGCGACGAAACGCTCGAAAGGGGGAGAGTCGACTTTTTTTGGTTTTTTTCGCTCGATCGTCCTCTCGCTACTCTATTTCTCTTTCTTTTTTTTCGCTCTCGCCCCTTTCTCCCACACGCATACGTACACACGCAGCAGCTACGGCGGCACAACCAACACGCATACGTTCGCGGAAATTCTCTCGCTCTTTCACACTTGTATTACTACATTACGTACATTACGGCGGGTTACAGCGCTGCGACCCTTCCTAGGAACCGCGGGGTAATAAGAGATAACGAACGGTCGCGCCGCGCAACACCAAGGATGAACAGACTCGCGTCGCGCATTTCGGTGGACCTTAGCGGACTTCCCGAGACGAAACTCTACTGTGGCTTTTTTTTGTCGAATACGGGACGGGAGATGGGATAATTGGAGAAATGCTTCTACGTTCAGGAAATCCGAGGAATGTTTACATGTCTCAGGATCGGTGACGAGTCGCGGACTCGCGCGTGTGTTCGGCGCGTTACGTTTTCTCGAAATCGGAGGCTCCGTATTCCCGGCGGGGATTGAGGGGTAACCAAAAGAAATGCCTCCACGTTCGGGAAGTCGCAGAGAGATATTTATTCGTCTCAGGATCTCTCGGTGATGAGCGACTCGCAATCTGACTCGCCGCATATTTCAGCGCGACGCCCTGGGTCTCTCGCGTTCTCGAAGTCGGTGCTGGGTGTTCGGCATCCTCGGCGCGAAACGTAAAACCTGATCGAGTCTTTACATGTTCTTACATTTGGGAGAGAAGAAAAGGAAAGATTCACACGCTCTCGAAGCAGCGTTTTCGAGCACACGTTTCCCGCAGAAAGTCTATCCGAAAGTCCTTCGACGATTCTTCCGGGCATCTTCCGAGCGGAATTACGCTTCTTCTTACTGAACGAAGTCGTCCGTTGAAATTTCGTGCGCTGACTCTCGAATCATCCTCGATTCGATATCGCACGGTCCGGGTATCCCGCTTTCTTCTCTATTTCCGACCGCTCCGCACTTTCTCTCCCTCTCTTTCTCTCACTTACACGCGCCACGCACACACACACACACACACATATACACGCACGCATAATCACACAAATATATATAGATATTTATATATTTTTTTTTTCAATATAATATATATATATATATATTCTCATTTTCTTTTTATTCGTACGCGTAATATCTATGTACAAAAACGCTAGATGACTCGATATGACTACGTGAATTTTTTTTTTTCTTTTTAGTACTCGCGCGCGCGCGGAGGGACGAGTCTCCCCCTCGTAACATACGTTGTAAATCGTCCCTGTGTTCTCGTGTTAATCATAACGGAGCGCTTTAGTTTCCTCGTTCTAAAAAAGACAAGTTAAGTGTATGTATTCCTATTACGAAATTATACGATGCGTAAAGCGTATTGCATTGCCTTCCCCCAAACAGCACGCCTTCTTGATTCCTGCGATCGTTTTTTTTGTCTTTCTCTTTTCCCCGCCTTTTTCCCCCTTCCTCCCCGCTTGCTCTTTTCCTTTTTTTTCCTCGAACTACGGGCGACACACGTCGGAACGGCGCGGATTCAGACACAATGGGGACCCCTCTCGCACGGTGGTCCACGGCCCACGTTTCTTTCGCATCGTCTCGAGCACGCCTTAATCGCGGCGATCGTTCGTCTCCTCTCTCTCCTTCCGTTCATCTTCGATCGTCTGCCGTTCACGTGACCGACCACGTGACGCGCGCGCTCTATCAACTCGAATCGCTCGTCCCTCGATTAGAAATCAAATCAGAATCGCGTTGTGATTACAATATTCGTATCGTCGTAAGCAGCGCGTGGCAAAACAAACCTTCTTAAAACGCTTTCGGAAAACGTAGTTCGCGAAAATCGCGCGTCGGCGACGGGTATAGTACGAGTGCGCACGCCAAATAAATGCATAATACTCTCGGAGACGCCGTCTCGTCGTGTGCGGACGACGCGCGTGTGAAAGAATAAAAACAAAAAAAAAACAACCAAAAATTTACCCGCCGCGCATCCCTCTCCCGACAGGCCGGGACACGCGCACCGTACACGCCCCGGCCACGTCTCGCGAGGTGGTTCCGAGAACGCCGAAATTCCTCCTTGGCGCGGCCACGTCCCGGTCGGATTCGCGCCGGGAGATCGATCTCCGCGCTTCGAATCGTGCCGCCGGCGATGTGGAGCCTCGCGAGCCGACGGGACGCAACGGGGCCGGCTTTCCAATCGAACGCAATCGATCGACGAGCGATTAGGCTCGGTCTCGAGATTCTTCGGGAGAAGTTTCGCTTTCCGCACGATCGGGCGGCGGCGGATCCGCACGTTTCCCGCTCTCGGGAGGACCTACCGCGCTTTTCTCCTCCGAGGCACTCCTTCGCTTTTTCCTCGGCCGCCCGTCGGTCACGTCCTCCTCACCGCCACTGCTGGAGCCTATTCCCTCTTCCTCAGCTCTCAGACTCACCGGCGGTGTGTCGGCCCCTGCGGAGTGTCCCCCTGCTACGGTTTTCAAAAATGTACATCCCTGACATCGGTCGGCGTGCCCGCCTTCTCGTGCTCCAGTATCTTTTCCTGGCTCGTGTTCTGGTCCCCCAGCGGCCTCTGCGGCGCGCTCGGGCCGCTGCCGGTGCTCGTCACCTGATGCCCGCTTCCGGCGGCGACCTCGGCACCCACGTGCGCCTGAACCATCTCCTCGATCTGCTCCAGGCAGCCCTGCAGATAGTCCTGGAACAAACAAGACGGCAATTAGTTCGAAACTGTCGGTAGCCAATGGCAGATTCTCGACGGAGGGGGGGGGGGAGAGGGTTCTTACGGATGCAATTATTTCTGAATAATTTTATGTGAAAGGACGCGCGGTAAGCCCGAATTTCTTCGCTTCCGCTGCGTCTCGCTGCACACGTCAGATCGAAATCAATGTTCTCCGACCGGAGAAATCGAATTCTACGTCGTCACTCCGCGCTTCTAGATCTTATCCGGTGGCCCGAAAGTGCACTCGCGAGATCGGTCGTCACGGGTTAGCCTCGTCGAGCTTGAAGCTGCGAGACGTTTCCCGAAGGTTCGTCGGGCCCCGCAAATAACGGCTGTGACCCGAGGTCATGAATGAAGATCCCGAGAGAGGCCGGATGGTCTCGAGGACGGCGTCTTCCTGCTCGGGGCCCAAACACATGAGACGATGAGCGCGGACCGCTGAAAATATTGCGCTTACGGGTCACGGACCCCATGCCGAGCCATTCATTCGCGCGGTTTATTTGTACTAGGCGTATAGAGAAAGAAAAGAAGCAAGAGGGAGGCCGAGGGAGATGAAGGGAGAGGGAGAAAATGAGAGACGGAGAAAGAGAGACGAAACTCGGCGATCTCGGACTCGGACGCGCATGCGGGGCCCGCAGAGACGGCCCCTTTTTTCCCCCGCGTATGTGCGAACATGTGCCCGGCACCTGCTGGCCAACCACCCACCCTTCCCGCGCGCTTCCCGTCGCGCTTTTTGCGCCCCGCGAGCCCGCTCTCTCTTTCTCTCCTTCGCTTTCCACGGACGGACTTTTGCGAAGGGCGTCCTATCGTTTCTTGCCGATTTCGTTTCGGCCTCGGCAACCAGACGGGATGATCTCATTGAGAAATGTCCCGCGTTCTCGCTCGAAGGCCGCGTATACGAGACATTCCGAGGAACCCGAGAATACCGACGGCAGAATTGAATTTTCACGGGGAATCGCGATTTTCGCGCGAAATCTTTCACTCTCCCGGTGGGGAGGGGGGTGCCGCGAACTCCCCGAATTCGAGCGGTCGCGTAATTGCCGCGACCGTGGAGCTGAAACGCGAAACTCTCTCGCCTTTCAGCCACGTAGGAAGAGTTACACGGTTTGCCGTCCAGCTGTGCCGCGGCTCTGCGAGGGGTTGGGGAACTCTCGGCTATCTCATAATGAAATCTTACGTTACTCCACCTCTGCGTACTATGTGGCACGTTTACTCGTAACTTGTAGTACGCTCGTAGTACGTTGCGCCTCACGAGGGGGAGACGGGAGGGGTGCGGGGATCAGATCCGGTGACTAACCTGTTCGATGGCAGTGATACGGGTGAGCTCGTCTAAGAGACCGGCTAATCCGTAGCCGGTCTTCCCGGTCCAGTCGAGTCCGTGCAACGCCGCCGCAACGCTCGCCGCCGCGATCATGCTCGGCGTGTACATGGAAAACTTGTATTCTGCAACAGAAACAGGAGGTACGGGGGTTAGACGGGTGAATATTCTCGCGACGCTTCTCCGCGTCGCGGTTTGCGCATTCGTATTCGCGATTAATCCCCTTCGCCATGGCTAGGCGCGCCAGCTCCGCCGCTTTACGCGCGCAGTGGGTAATAAACGTCTATTACTCGACACCGTGTAATTTAAGCGGCGGCTAATCAATTATTGGCATTCGTACTTGCGATATTAAAACGGACGGAGAAAGCGTTGCTTACATTGCCGGGGGGGAAACATTATATATGTCTCACGGAGAGATTTTTCGGCGTCGAGAAGAATAAACGTAATTACAGCAGCAATTGCAGCGGGGAAAAGGATGTTTCTAGTTCCTGCGAAACTAAATTCGGCTCCTGGAACGAGAACGTTCTGTTTCCTTCGACCGAAACGCATTCGGTACGCTCGTTGTTACTTTAATTCGACGTTTTTCCTCCGTAGGTCAGGAAACACTTCGGGCAGTTCTCTTGTGAGAATTTCTTTCCCAGGTACAGCAGTGATAAACTATCCGTTCTCAAGTTACAGGAGATAACTAATGTGACGGTTCGCTCTGAACGACTGTTCAGCAGACAGCCGTTACATGACGGTGTCTGGGTCGGAGAAACTTTTTAACGGAAGGGAAGTCTACGGCGGAAAAATTGAATATACCGCACGAGTCTCTTTTAAAAACAGAAGACGACCCTTTTTCTCTCGTTCTTCAGCTCTCCGCTTCATTCATACCTCGGTTCATTCAGTCGACCCCGTTGTCATTTGTACGCCATAGGTCGCAACCTTTCGATCTTATCCTCGCCGACCGGAGGGAACCCTTCGGACGCGTTCCTACAAGTTGGACCTCGGAATCACGTGGCAGATTTACGGGAAACAGAGCGGACCAACTTCCGGAGCACGTGGTGCCTCCTCATCCGTGGAAGTATCGGTGAGACCGGTCACTTTCACCGGAGGAGGTACGCAATCCGTCCGGGGACTTTTTAATGTTTCAACGTGAAGAAACAGTTTCAAAACGATGCCACTGCTCCTCCGACGGCGCGTTGATGTCCACTGACTCGAATCGCGGCACATCGGCGCGCTTTAACGTCATCGCAATTTCAGCATGCTCACAGAGCCTTTCTAATGCGCTCTTTAATGCTTCGCGGAGTCGCTCGACTCGAGAGACAGAGGAAGGTGAGAATCACACACCAGCCACGTCGGTGTTTCTCAGGCTACCCGGTGTAAAACGTGCCGCAAAGGGGACGGACAGATTAGCATATTTAAATTACGACTTGAATAATTCGAATTTAAATAATCGACGTTTAATAGTCAATCAAGAGTTTAGTCATTAAATCGAGACACTGAGACACACACGATCTTGAGGGAACGTAAGATTCGTCCGAAGATTTAAAAAGTCGCGGTTGAAGAAAAAAAAGAGAGAGAGAGAGAGAGAACCGTATTGATAAATCGTCCGCGGAAAGCTCCACGGTTTATTAATCAGTGAAATTAAGAGCGTGCACTGAGGACGGATACGTAGAACCAGTTTGAGAGAAAGAACGAGAGAAAGAGAAAAAAAGGGAGAGAAAGAGAGAGAGAGAGAGAGAGAGAGAGAAGGAGAGAAGGAGAGAGATGAGTACGCAGAGACGGGAGGGTGCAAGGCTCGAGATAGCTGCGGAATGTGAACATCAGACGAAATTATCGCAGTGCAGCGGTAGTGCGTACCGAAACTCAAGCCTGAGAGGGAGAAAGAGAGCGAGTTTAGCTTGCATAATCAAAGCCACACTGGCGCAATCTCGGGCGCCGCTCCCGGTGCGAACGATAAATAGGTATGTACGCGCGCGTCTATCTTGCCGACCGCGTAAATTAACCTTGCCGAGTAATCTATATTTGTTACTCCCCGATACCTGTTCATCCCTTTTGCCCGGAGACAACCGGTTTTACGGACCGTCGATTTCGTGGAAAATTCGACGCAAAACCACGTTTCACTTTCCCCGCTACGCTATGGATAAAAAAAAAGAAATACGCGTCGTCCGAGAACGGCACTGCCTACTTTGGTCCGTGAGAAACGATTCACGGTCCTCATCCTGACGAGTCCTCTCCTCCTTCTCTATTCTACCTTCGGTCTATCGAGCCCCCTCCGTCGTCTTCGAGCAACACGAGCACCAGGACCACGAAGCGAAGGACGAGGAACCTCCCGGCGCACCGCGTTTTTACCATCGCGGTTGTAATAACAACCGAGCGAGACGCGGACTTCGCGGAGAGACGGAGAATCGAGGAGGAAGGCAGAGAGGAACGGTCACGAGGAAGGAGGAGGACGAAAGAGGAGGATGAAGGAAGAGGACAGCAACCGTGGCGACGCGTCCAGGCATTTAAACGCGCTCGATCTTGATCTTTTTTAGCGTTCCACGCGGACTATCAGCCGCATTTTATCTCGTTCCTTCGCCCGCCCGGGCGGATTTTCTCGGTTTTCGTCGCGACGAATGCCTCACGCGACAGCTGATATCTCGGCATCCTTATTGTTTACGGCAGCGAAGTGGAAGTTGCAAAATTGAAAAAAGAGAGAGAAAGGAGCGACGAAGCAAGAGAAATTCGAAGAAGCGAGTGTTAAGGGAAACTATTTTCCTACGGTGTCGTGGACATTCCAATTTTCACCGACGTCGCATCTTTCGCCGCGTTATTCCAGCAGAAAGATAGAATACCAGATTCCAACAATAGCGGTGACGATAGCGGCGAGTAGCAGCGTGGAAAAATTACACCGTTCATTTTTTTTCACAGGTCCCCAGCGTCCCCTCCTTCCTCTTCCTCGAAATAATGATAGCGCGAGTAATAAGGACGAAGGGTGTAACAGTAATAATAACGGGCGGGATTATCCTTCCGTGCGACGCTCGGCGCTTCTCCGGTCGCGCCGCGCGCTATTGGCGGCCTCGTCTATATGCATATGCGTGACCCATTTGAGAAAGAGAAAAGAGAGAGAGAGAGAGGAAAAGAAGCGAAAAGAAAAAGAGCGATATTCGTGCGCGCGAGTCGCGTTACGTGACTGCTTCCGCCGGGAGTGTGTGTACGTACGATGTGCCACGACCGGCCGGCGTATATTCATTAACGCGCATGTTAACGATGCACGTAGTCCGGTTGTTGTTTACCTCGCATGTACGGTGCGCGATTACGGCGCGGCATCGGCTGACAACGAGTTGCGCAGCGCAAGGTGCACAAAGGAACGCACGTTCGCGGATGAGCCTCGCATCGTGCGCGGCCGTGCTCGCTCAGACGATGTTAATGCGATCCACGAATGAGGCTGATAACTACTGAATAGCGCGTGAAATACGCGGGGCGAAAAGTCGGCGAGAGACTTATCCCGATCCCCTTTCGCGAATTCCCAGCGGTCGATCGCGCTTCATTCTCGAAATTCCGAAGTCCGCGAAAATCCTCCGGCTCCTCGTCGATCTCGAATTCTACCGTAATCATTCGTCCTCACCTCTCGCGCTGAGAGCGATGAAGGTCTGCGCGTGCCTCCTGACCATCACGGTGTCCCAAGTGCTAGGCATCGGCAATCTGCTGAGGATGTGCATGAGGAAGTCGCCGGGCGTCACTGCAGACAATTCCCATTTCAGTTTCGAGACGACCAGCTGCTCCCACCTCTGCAACAATAAATCGGGCGCATGCCGCTCGTTTAATTTCGCGACAGACGCTTCGTTCCCGCTCGGTGCGAGAGAAGTTGAGGACGGCACTCGATAGATGCGTCTCTCTTCTATCGACTTCATTTCTCCCGCTCGATAATTATAAGCACGATCGCAGCGTAAAGAGAATACGCACGGGTGACGTATTGGTAATTGTGCGGGTTATTTGAATGAAAAGTCGGTAATTTCGCGCGGCAAATCCCGAGAGGGGGAGAGATTCCTTTCGGGATTTCGTTTTATTTCGTATTGTTAGAAATCTTTTTGAATTTCTATATTTGCGTCGCGCGATTGTACTTTAACGAGGCCCCCCGAGTTCGCGTATTGTATTCTAAATAATACAGTTCTGCACGTATGAGCGCCTCGGCAATAGGAAGAACCGCTTCGTGAATTCGCATCGAAAAATCATTAGACACACGTTTTAGGTCCTCTTTAGATCCTCTTTTAGATCCTTTTCATCGCGAATAAACGGCGAATGCGCGCCTCTTTAAACGCGGAAACGTCGCTTTTAATTGCCCGTGATTGCGCTCAGGTGTGACAGCGAATCGCTCGCGCGTGCGTCGACGTCCAAAATCAAGCAGCCTTGGCCTCTCTCACCGTTCCGAATGTTGAACACGAGAAAAAAGGAGAGAGAGAGAGAGAGAGATAGGCGAAGAGAAAGAGAGAGAAAGATTAGCCCTTTCTCTGGCGAGGTTACTACGTCCGCTCTCTGGAGTACGTCGTAGTATCCCCGTTCTCTCTCGACCGTGAAATTACACGGCGGGAGTAGCGCGACGAGTACTACGTGTCCTTCGTCTTGATTAAAAGTCCATTGAATTCGGCGAGGCTACCACTCTCTCCTCCCGTCGCTCAGCTGTGACGAAACACGGCTCCGCCGAGCGTGCTTCTCGAGGTGTCTTCGTCGGACAGCAGAACGACCGGCGCGCGATTATCTCCGTATCGCGCGTCCATTTTTCTACGCTGCACTTCGCGTCGCGTCGTGGCGAATCACGCCGTGCGTTTTTGCACGATCACGCGATACCGATCGCACATTTAAGGGAACAAAACTGTCCTGACGTAAACCCAAGGATGAAATGAAATCAATTGAAACGACTGAACGATCCCGTTTTTCAGCAGAATTGTAATAAAATCGCGTGTAAAAGCACAGCGGAAAGGAAGAAAGACGGTCTATCCGTCATCGTAGTCATCGCGTAGTACGAGTCAAATTAAAGTCTTCGAATGGAAGAGGATGTGCGCTCGAGGGAAGACAAACCGAGGGAGTCTCTCTCTCTCTCTCTCTCTCTCTTTTTCCTTCTCTCTCCTCCTCCACGGCTTATTCTCATCCTTGAAGGGGTTCCGCACTCGAGTGCGTGCGTGCGTACGCTCGCCGCTCACGCTCGCTCTCGTTCCCGTACGCTCCTCTCTCGTACGAGCGTCAGGAAACCGGTGAATGAAACAAAGGCCCGTACACACCGAAGAGTGCGCGAGCGGCGACGTAACGCTCGCGTCGGTGTGTAAATCACTACCGTTCCTACCGGCCGTAACGAATCGTCCGCCGTTCGTATCGTGCGCTATCGTTACTTTCTAAACACGATGCAGTTTATCTCTCCGGTGACACGGGTCGATTAATTTTCACAACGCGATTGTACGCCGTCGCTTGGGCGAAAGTAAATCACTCGACTTCGTGCGCCTTTATCTACACCGCGCGACGTAATTCGGCGAAGTTCCAACGATACGATTATCCGAGCCACTTGGCGTCTCCATTCTTAATCTGCGCCTTGCATTTCTGCCCGCATCTTGCTCGAACAGAATGAAGTTACTCACACAGCGCTAAAGCACCAATTGCTACATATAATCATTGCACACTGAAAGAAAGAAAGAAAAAAACGCTACCCTCCAGTAATATTCACCTAATCCAAGGGAAATGATCAATAATCACTCCGACACTCCTCAGGGAATATTTCCTTAAAATGTATAGCACTTTCTTCTTCCAGTGCATCAATCTTTCGACGCGCTTCGTCGTATTGTTATTATTATTCGTCTTCTATCACCTCGGATCACAATTATTACACGGACCGTAAACACACTGTGAAATTATAATGAGACGATAATTACAGCTCTTCCCACACGATAGCCCGTCTCATTTAACAAAAAAAAAAAAAGAAGAAGAGAAAACCACAATTTATATGAAAATCCACGTATATGCGAAATAAATATATAATGCATGAGGTATGAATTTTTCAAATGCGCGGTACGAGGTGCGCGTCGGTGGGTGTTACCATACACGTAAAACGCTCGACGACGACGACGCGCATCCCGTCGTCGCTCGTCACCGAGCGGTGTAATCTACGATGTAGCCGCGGCGCGTGCACGCTACGATGCTCGCGCGTACGTAACGACACGTAATGATTCACAAGGGGGGAGGTGGGGGCGGACAATGATCTACCTCAGGGATAAAGTATGAACGCGCTCGGTGTCGATAAGTACGCGCACACGCGGGCATCGATAATAAAGCGGCGCCCCCTTCGTGTTCGTCCTCCGGGATACATTCGATGTCCCGTTTCCATCGCAAGGATTCCACGTGGCGCAATTAACAGTGACAAGTAAACGTGTAAATCGCTCGCACACGCGGAGTAGTCTAATTGCCGCGGAATTAAAATGGAAATTGCAGTACAGTAGTCGCGAGGTTAGAAGCGTAAAAGAGTTACGCTCGGCGATAAAGAGCGGTCTTGCCTCCGGGGGCTGTGTTTCTCCCTCCCGGCGTATTAAAGAGTCGAGCATACGGGGTGAAAAGTTTCATCACGAACGGCCGAGCTAAATAGTCGCGTTGCTCGTGTCACTCGTGACAGCGAAATCTCAGCGCGAGTAACTTCAATCTGCGAGGCCCATTCATCGAGCTGCATTCTACGAATTGATCCTCGCGTTCGCCCTTAACCTTGGGACTTCCGGCCTACGATCGGCATGCGCGTCGGAAATCGATACTCGAGCGACATCGGATCAAGAGGCACGGTGAAAAAGAGGGACGGCCGGGCAAAAAGGTGTCGAAGCATGCCGTGGGACACGGTAGAGCAGGTGCGAGTTATGCGCCTCTCGTTTTCTCCGATGCGCCTTACAATAGGGGGTCCTCCAGCCGAATAACCCTCGTAAATGACCCCCGACATATTTTCAGATCGCATCCGTGAACCCCCTCCGTACGCGAACGCTGTAATTATACGCGTCCATAATTCACGATAATTCCCGATTTGACGGTGCAATCTTGGGTGTCACGCACACGGCCGCAGATATTCGTTAATATCCTCTCTCGTCCTTCTTTCTCCTCCCGACAACGCCGCACGAGCAGAGCGATCGTTAATCGACCCTCGTAAATCGCATTAAATGTTGCGCGCACTCAAAGAAGTCGGGAACTGAATAATGCATCGGAGAACGAACTCTATTAACGCTCGTGCGTACTCTCGCATGCGTGCGAGATTCGCGCGGAAGGATGAGTGCACGCACGCACGCACGCACGCACATTCGAGCTGCGTTCTGATATCCATTGCCTGCGTTGGAAATCTACAGTATACGTAACACGAACTACACCCTCTACTCCGGCAAGCCGGTCGGTAGTGACTCTCAATCGTGACAGTTTGCTGCGCTCCCAACTTCATTGTACTTAAACCGCTTTGCAGCCGAATGTACGCACACACGCGCGCGCGCGCACACACGCATAGAGCACGCGCAATTTAATCGCGCGCGCGCGCGTATGCGATAAAGGTTGATTCATATTATACGATGACGCCGTTGCGCACCGGCAACGACGAGGCAGAATATTATGCAGCATGGAATAATGAAGCGGGCCGCGTTTATCACGTCCGAGATACAGCGACAGTCGGAATAAAAAGAAAAAAAAGAACAAGAAAAAGTCGAACGAGGCCAGACGCCGCGGCGCGAGCGAAAGGGCTGCGAATCACGGGCAACGAGCTTACTCATTATAACCGAGCCTACTCGTTACTGAAAAGTCGTTATTAAGGTTTCACACTACGAAACTACGTTCTTGACCCCCTCATCTCGCCTATTAGACGCGCCACGTTTGCCAGAAAAGATTCCCAGCGCGAAACTCGCGGTCGCCCGTCGACCGGATTATTTTCCCAGAATTCAAGGGGACATTGAAAACTCCGGATGAAAACACTTATTCCAAAATTCGACATTTAATCAAATTCTTTAAATCGTCTAAACTAATTAAATTATTCATATCAGCTGGATTTATCAACATCGCTTACATTATCGAGTGATTTAAATTTAGTTTAGGTCCCTGGAAAAACATCACCCTCTGCAGAATGCATTCTTGATCATTTTTACATTCCCACGCCAATAACCAAATACACGCTTATAGATACGTGGATGAACAATGACCGTGCAATGACCTTACGACACATTGACGTAAGAAAAAGTAATCGTTCGAGCCAGCCTCGGGGGAATAAATTTCCCCGATACAGGTTAAATACTTTCACGGCAGTTACGTTTGCATTTCCGGTCTGGAATTTACGGCCGCTCTCGATTCTCGCGTCGCTACTGCATCGGCTATAGGCTAGGTTAGGTCCAATAACTATCGGCCGATCGATAGAGGAGAAGCGCGGTGCGGTGCGCGTTTTATGCGTCTCATTCATGCGGTCCGCGATCGCGTTCGCACGGTCGTCGCTTTGAATCGCGCGCACCTTGGCCGCCCTGCTTTCCCGAGCGTGAGAAAGATAATCCCGACGCATGTGGCACCTTTTTAATGCTCGGTCCGCCGAATATCGTGACACGTCGTCGACACCAGGTAGGAGAGAAAGAGAGAGAGAGAGAGATGATACGTCGCGATAGCGACTTGCGGGGTGAAAACGCGTAATTACGGTCATTAACCGTAATTACCGCGTATATCCGCGTGGTGCACGCCGAGGACGCGTCCTCCTCTTCCTCTTTTTTCACTTTTTAGTTCGCTGGCCGTCCAGATGCCGGTTTTGGCT